CAGATCGCGTTATAAGAGCGTCAGGCAAACCCCACTATTCTGTCTGACAACAGTATTCCAAAAGTTGGCGGTTGGTGATGTTGATTAGTTGCCTTGCCTCTAGTCTATCACTTATTATGGACAGATAGCACAGATAATCCTTGAGTAGCTTTGCCCAAAATCAAGCAAACAAGAAATACCAAATGACTCAAAAATATCTTCCCACTTCCGGTTTATTCGGTTTTATAAGACGATATTTATATATGACTTAAAAATGTCTTCCCACTTCCGGTTTATTCGGTTTTATAAGACGATATTTATATATGACTTAAAAATATCTTCCCACTTCCGGTTTATTCGGTTTTATAAGACGATATTTATATATATTATTTGTTGTGAAAAACCAGCTAACCTATCATTTTGTACAAGATACTGTTTACCTTACAACCACATGATCTTTTTTTTCCCCCGAGATATTTTGAATATGTTTAATTCGTGTAATGGTGCAAGTTGGCCCTGTAGTAGAACTCCGGATTTCGGAGCTTACTAGATAAATACGTAGATGCTTTATGAGAGTAGACAGTCAATCGGCTAGCGTGGATAGTGATTGGTATGATGTTGCTCACTGGCTGCCTTCCCTCTGGTCAGTTGTTCAAAATTAGGGACGGCGACACATAACCTTGAGTGACAGTCAATCGGCTAGCGTGGATAGTGATTGGTATGATGTTGCTTACAGGCTGCCTTCCCTCTGGTCAGTTGTTCAAAATTAGGGACGGCGACACATAACCTTGAGTGACAGTCAATCGGCTAGCGTGGATAGTGATTGGTATGATGTTGCTTACAGATTGCCTTCCCTCTGGTCAGTTGTTCAAAATTAGGGACGACGATAGATAGCCTTAGTTCCTTTGCCATAAATACAAAACAACGATGTATACAGTTGATTAATTATTAATTTTTTCTTTTTGTAGGTATTTTTTGATTACCTGTGACGGTATCCTGCACTGCATAAATACCTAGTAAACAGAAACTATCTTAACAAGACATTATAGACTGCTTATGTTAGGCCATAACAACAGCTGCTAGTGAACTGAAGTCAGGTGACAATAGTCAACCAATTCATGGCGATTGAGTCAACTTCTGTTAGAATGTTGACGAAAGATCATAGTTAATTAACTTTAGTTACATTTGTTCATAACGAGTCTCCTCTTAGATCGTAATAATAAATTTTAACTTTTTTTTCACAGATTCAATATTCAAAATAGTGGGAACTTGGGGTTTGTTAAGCACAAGGCTACAAGTGGGAACTTGGGGTTTGTTAAGCGCAAAGCTACAAGTGGGAACTTAGGGTTTGTTAAGCACAAGGCTACAAGTGGGAACTTGGGGGTTTCTTAAGCACAAGGCTACAAGTGGGAACTTGGGGTTTGTTAAGCACAAGGCTACAAGTGGGAATTTGGGGTTTGTTAAGCACAAGGCTACAAGTGGGAACTTGGGGGTTGTTAAGCACAAGGCTACAAGTGGGAACTTGGGGTTTGTTAAGCACAAGGCTACAAGTGGGAATTTGGGGTTTGTTAAGCACAAGGCTACAAGTGGGAACTTGGGGGTTGTTAAGCGCAAAGCTACACGTGGGAACTTGGGGTTTCTTAAGCACAAAGCTACACGTGGGAAGTTGAGGTTTGTTAAGCACAAGGCTACGCGTGGGAACTTGGGGTTTCTTAAGTAGAAAGCTACGCGTGGGAACTTGGGGTTTGTTAAGCACAAAGCTACACAATGGGTTATTTGTGCTCTGCCAACCACCAGTATCGAAACCCGAATTTTAGCGCTGTAACCATGCAGACTTGCAGTTGAGCCACTAGGGGACAGTAAAATAGTGACTATTAAATAGAAACCCAAGCAAGCTGTGTCGTTATGTTTGGTTTAGTAAAAATAAGCTTCTATTAAACCGATAAAACGAATAACGAGTTTTACAGACAAATTTTTATCGTATTATGACATCTATAGTGAGTTCTTTATTGCAACCAATTTTCGTCAGACTGTCACACTTATGTAGACTTATTTACTTAATGACAGCCAGAAATTCTCACATTGTGACACAACGGCTCGTGTTACTTACTCACAGCCTAATTTCATCAAATTTTGTCAGTGTTTGATTATCTTTTGTACACCCTGCATTATTAGTTATATTATCTTTGTACACCCTGTATTATTAGTTATGCCCATGCTGTATAATATGTTTGTTTTTGAATTTCGTGCAAAGCTACACGAGGACCACCTGCGCTAGCCGTCCACAATTTAGCAGTGAAATACTAGAGGGAAGGCAACTAGTCATCACTACCAACCGCCAACTTTTGGACTATTTTTTTACCAACGAATAATTTTACCAATACAGTATAACGCCCACACGGCTGAAGGAGCGAGCATGTTTGGTGGAACTGGAATTCGAACCCGCGGCCCTCAGATTGCGACTCGAGATCCCTAACCACGTGGTCATGACGGGCCCTGTTTAATATGATTGCAATTTTATTTGCAGTAATAAAACTCAATTATTAGAATACTGCTATCGGCTATCATCAGACACTGCATGCTGGAATGTTCCGAAGACCGTTGCAACTGCCTATGATCAGACACAATATTCTAGAATGTTCTGAATTCCATTTCTGCGTTTCAAAACTACCTTTCATCAGCCACAACCTGCTAAAATGTTCTGAAGCTCCTTGCTGCACTAAGTAAATGGCTATCACGTGACACAGTACGTCAGAATGTTCGGAACTTCCACGGTACACCTATGATCAGCCAAACTGAACCAAAACATTCCGAACTCCTTTGCTGAAATTTACATCCGACTGACCAAGCTAGTAGACACTGAGATTTTAAAAAATCAAAATTTTAACTTGAATTTATTTTTTGATGGCCGCACATTTTACACTTAGATAGATTTAGCCTTGTAGTTTAGTTACAAAAGTCTTTGGTATTTTCCTCATTTCTTGAACGTACATTCACAGACATATAGAAGACATCGACCTGATTGTTGGTGGGCTCATTGAAAGACATGTTCCAGGTGGTTTGGTAGGGCCAACGTTTGCCTGCCTAATCGCTCGACAGTTCAAAACAATGAAGTACGGAGACAGATTTTGGTACGAGCATCTGAACTTTCCAGGAGCATTCACGCAAGGTAAATAACTATTCTGGTTCTATATACGAATATCTTTGCTGTTGTTTTTAGGTCAATGTCTCCCAACTTCCTAGTAGGAAATTGCAAAATGACGTCATAAATATGTGTGAATAGCTATTTAAACGAATCCCCCCCCCCTTCACCCACCATAGGAGAAATATATATATATTTATCAGCTATATTAGTTACTTTGGTGATGTTTTCGCTTTATGGTTGTTTCATCTGGGTATTACTGGGCAAATTAGAGATAGATCTGAAATGCTATTTTTATACGCCTCCAATTTGATATTAGTAATGAATTTATTAAATTAATATGGTAAAAACATCAGCAGTCAGATATGGTTGTGTCATATTTCTCGGTTCCTTTGAAATGTTCTTCTCCTCGTCTCTGTTAACATAACTCAACCTTAACCCCGTTTAGTAGCTAAGGAGTTAGAAACAGTGTTTCAAATTAAATTGATTGACCTTTTTTATGTCACAGCTCAATTAAATGAGATTAAGAAAACGACGTTAGCTGCCCTTATCTGTCGAAATACTGATGAGCAGTACATCCAGCGCGATGTCTTCCGTCCGGTGGGAAACAATAACCCATTACAACCCTGTCAAGTCATCAACGCTGAAGCACAGCTGGATCTTTCCCATTGGGGTGCATTAATATTGTATTAATATTAGCTATAGTTGCTTTCGTCAAAACACTGTGTGGAATAACCACAAAGCTTTAAGCGTAACGTTTTACAAATATTTTAGTATATATTGCATAGATATTATGTGTTGGTTCAGTGTTTTATGTGATCAAAATTGTTCTTAAAAAACAAAATAAAAGATTATCCAATTCAATTGACTCTTAATATACTTTTGAACAAGAAAACAAAATTAAGTACATTTGTATAAAACAACCCTAAACACAGGAATATAAAATAAGGATAAACCTAGGAATAGTGAACAAAGATACACACAGATAAACACGGGAATAGAAATAAAAACTAAATACAGGCCAAGAAAACAAATATAAAAATAGCACTATAATACAAAGGTAAAGAGAATATGAAAAGACAAAGCTAACATAGAGAGAGAAAAAATAGATAAACACTGAAATATAAAAATAGAAGTAAATACCGGACTAATAAAACAAAAATGAACAGAAGATAAGATAAGATAAACACAGGGATAAAAAATAGACAAACATGGGAATCGAAAAGAAAGATAATATATGACAAAATTAGTGCAAGACGAGAAAGAAAACTTAAACACAGGAATAAAAAACAATGATACACAATTATTAAGCTAAAAGCTAGTTTAAATAAGTTGCTAATTACGTATTTTTATTTAATAAAACAATTTTAAAAGACAAATAGTAATAAGAGTTGTTTTTCTCTGGATTTTATGCAGTATTTACTTAATGCTTATTTATAAGTGGCAAAGCTTGAGAAGACTTTGAATTTAGTTTGTACACACGGACTAAAATAACATGCCCCTCAATGGCACAGCGGTAAGTCTGTGGACTTATATATAAGCATGCTCTTGGAGCAAATCAAAAAGACAATAAACAAGATAATAACCAGAATATATATTCTATAGATACCAAATGCATGAGATCAAAGTTTATATATAAAAGGTAATTATAAAGAACTACAACGTATATATATTTATATATATACATGTAAAATAAATTCAAAAATCAAGTATGATGTAGGAATGGCAATGCCAAAAAGTACAGAAACAAGATAGCGATGAATGGACAAAAACTATACAAAAATCATTACATAAGTAGCCAAATCGTTCCAAGAATAACTTTTGTAAACAGTTAAATGTTGAATTCCTATCAGTTCCATGAATTCAGGTTTGAATAAAAACATTTAAACTGAATAGTGGCTAATAACTATAAGCTTGCAAGATTGACTCAGTATTTACTGGCTACTTGTGTAGGAATTTTTGTATGGTTTTGTGTATTCATCCCTACCTTATGTCTGTATTTTTTGGCATTGCCTTCTATACATCATAATTAATTTTTTAAACATTTTTCATTACTTGTTTCCCCTCTTATTTTAAAACAGTTTCATTGAAGTAACTTGATAAGTGAATATTTGTTTTACTTTTATAAATCAATGGTAATATATATTGTTAATATCATATCAGTTTTGTCAATTTTTCTAATTTTGGATTACACTGGAGGCATTTGTAGCTGGAATGTTTCCCCCAGGATGGTACAAGTACCCCGGAGTGCTGGACCGAAGTTAAGGGGATACTTACAGAACCCACGACTTTCAACTTCACCCCAACTCATTGCATGTGCATAAAATCGACTCCACAACATGCAAGAGTCGTGTCAATTAATAGGGAAGATATCATATAGATTCCAGGCCATGAAATATAATACCACGCATATACACTCAGATGCTAGGCTCGGCCTCACTGCAAATTTGAAGAAAGTAGACAGCTATATAATGCATTGTTTTGATAATTAAGAAACTAGTGTTTATAAACTCAGACATCAATAACAGGTACACAGATCTGTTAGTTGTATAAATACTTGATCTCCTTGATACCTTGAATATTAACTTAGATTATTATTACTTTATTTCATTATTTTTCCTGAGACTGTTTTGCAGATATCATGTTTGTGCAATGAAAAGTCACAAACATTCGTTACATAAGAATAATTTGTGCTTCCATCTAGCGACTCGAAATGAAACAGTTATTTATAAAACATTGAAATAATATATGCTTATAAACTGATCTCATTACTAAGCAGTAATTTTCCTTTCTATTATTTCCCCACAAAAATACATGTGGTAGAAGGACTGAATAATAGTACTGTTACACAAGCTTTGAAACACTCGATAATAGCAATTAGGTGCTCAAATAAGGCTATAACTCAACTTTAGCAGTAAGCATCATAAAGTAATATATTGAATACAGTGGCCATTTTTTCTCGGCCCATCCCTACATGATTAAATGAATAACTCCATATTGCATTATTTCATAGCACATAAAAGCTACTTTATTGATTTACCAGAATTTTTACTGCAAATCGTAAGTTTTATTCAGGAAAGTTTGAACATGTGTTATACTACTTACCTTTATTACCATTCTTGCAAATTATCAATGCCATTTATTTTCTTTTTCTCTCTCACTCTAATAAAAATGAGAGATTACTGATTGTAATAAAATGTGTATCAATTTGCAGAGTATTGCAAGGATATTAATGAACACCATGCAGAAAAGGGATTCATATCCTAGAATCACTAGAGATACAGAATACAGGTTCTGCATTGGAGGATGGACCTCAAGTTGCAGAAAAAACAAATAACTGAGGGTAAAATGGTGGTCCTGACATAAAAATTGAATAGTCTCTAATGGCTTTCCAAACTGTTCCTGATTAGAATAACCCAAACCATGATCAGTCTCACCCATAGCCACCAAAGGCAACTAAAAGTGTTGCTAGTGGATTACGCCTGCCAACCAGAGCTATGCTATCTTTTTCCAGGAGGGACAATTGACACTCAGTATTGTAGATGGTAACTCATAGAGCAGACATGATCCTTTCTATGATGGAAAGCGTGTTATCTGTACCACTCTAGCCACTTGATACTGGCTTTACTTTCGTGAATGACGATTTATTTATATTTGAATTTAAAAAAATCATATATGAATACACCTAGATAATGTTCCTCACAGGATGAATATAATTGTCTCTGATCTTAATTCAACTATTGAACTGTCTTTCTGTGGCGAAAAAAAAGCCGAAGTCAGCCATATAGGGCTTATAAGCAATGAACTTCAGATGAGAAAGTCACAGTGCTTCTAATACATAAACGGCATCCAAAGGTTTACTTCATAGCAAATATAATATTGCATTACTGCTGTAGGCCTCTTGGATGGAACCAGCATGTGAAACATGCCGATTCTTATCCAGAAAGCAGGCTGCATTTACTGAACAATTATCTGTCCGAGAGATAATATAATCCCAGTATTGCTCCGCAATCGTAGACACTAGATTAATCAACTTTTTGTTGGAATGTCCGTCGCATGGTAGAGAAGTCAAAATAGTTGAAAACCCCTGCACGTCAAGGGTTGTTTCTGTCATACCACAAAGAAAAGAATAAGTATAGTTGAAGGAACATGTGAGGGCAATACAGTTGAATATACTGAAGTGTTTATGGACCAGATTGCTGATTGGAGCCATACAATAGGACTTCATCACCACATACAGGCGATGCATGTCTGGCAAAGTAACCAATGTATAGGCTTCTCTGCAGCACTAGAGACATGACTAGTCTTTATTAAAGTACATCATATACTTGGTAGTCTCCAGGAGTGATTTGTCAGAAGGAAGAAGGATATGCCGAGCTCTGTGGTGATTTTAAAATGGAAGAACATGGTGATCCACACTGGCGCCATTCTGTCCCCAGATGATTGTCTAGATGCATTACAAGTGTCTATGACTCAGCACATTAGATCTGGCTTTCAGTTACTGGCAAGTTGAGATGGATAATGAAAGTAGACCCAAAAATTATTTAAGCACTCAAGATGGTTTATGCAACTTTTACACCAGGCTATTCAACCTTTGTATTAGGCCTATAAGATTTGAGTAGCTAATCGATCGTATACTGAGAAAAAAGTTCCTGATTTATTCTGGCGCGTCTTGGTGTTTTGTCACGTTTCAGTGTGCTGCTGAAAACATGGTCAAGTGAAAATGAAACCAAAGAATTGTTCACTCATACATATAGAGGTGGAAATTCCCAGTTATGTTGTGAAAAAAGACGGAACCACATCCAACTTCCTGAAGATTACAGGAGTCAAAGATTGGCCTCATTTAAATGATATATCTGTGATTTGCTAAGTTTTGTATAATTCTATCAGTGATTCACCAGTTTTTTTCAAAACTGCTGCACCATTAACTGTTATCACTAAAGCCGAAATGCATGTTTTGTGGACTGAAGACGGTGTCTACCTATATCAGTCACTAAACTCTGCTTTTATATAAGCTCCCTCATTACCATACCTCAAACAAGATTTCTATTGCTGCTTAATAGTGATATTAGCAATAGTGGAATTTCAGTAGAATTGCTATAAGTGCAGGACAGTTGGAATAGGGGGTATAATCACATATGTTTGTCATGTGATATTCTCAGGACTATTAAATAAGTCAGCTTTATAATGGAAGGTTTGTGCAGGATGATTATAGAGTAAACCTGACTTTAACTAAATAACTGAGTTATTCTATGGAAACAGACGGATTTGACACATGTTGTGAAGTCTAAAACAATCTTTATTTAAGGTGCAAAGCAAAAACACAACATACGTACTTTACGTCAATTACTAATTATGCCTCTCAAAATGACTTCCATTGATCGACCCACATTTCAAACCAAGTAGAATGTTCTGTTTTCTTACCAAAACCGATGCTCTGTATCAAAGAGGAAACCTTGGTTTTACCACTAAGTGGCAAACATCACCACGTGACTGGTTGCTGTCTTACAATATATATAAAAGGCTGTAACCTCTAGATATCATATACTCGGCCATTGAGGGAAATTGCTGTTGATGACCTATCCTACACAATGTACAAAGCTGCAAAAACATCCCAATGGGTAAAATAGATACCACCTGCTAGAAAATAACTGAAATCAAAGTTAACTAAAATGAAACAACTCAAAAGTTTTCTAAGCCACGTGTTTATACCAAAATCGGATAGAGCCAAACTAATTGAAAAGTTTTAAAGATGAGAGAAAACCCATCATATTCAAAAATATCACACTCTCCATGCCTGTTTCGGGATTGTTCTCAAATTGACATTACAGTTTAACTTTAAAACACATAAACTTTAAGTTGCAACATGGCTAAGAAGCATGTTAACGTTCCCTGTTGAATGGCACATGGAAGATACAACTCTTAAACAAAGAACTATGCTCAAGACTATCGTTACAATAATTTAAATATGGTTTTGAAACCCTAAAACCAATATAACAATACATTATAAAATGAAATAATTATAAGAAAAACCGTTTAATTGCGACGTATAATCACACTCACTATATAGCAATAAAAATATTTAGCTATAACTGAAAATAAAATATCAAATGATACATTACATAATAGAATACTCAAAATACTTAGAAATAAAGCTCTTGTCAATACATTACTGAGAAAAATAAAACACTCTTAAACAATAAATTAATGGAGATATTACTTTAAACAATAAAGGGTATATATATATATATATATATATATAAAGAATTTAATTACAAGTAATATATAACAAAAAATTATCCCTTTAACAATCAATATATTAAAAGAATGCAATTTAATAAAGAACATGATACAAAAATAACTTTTAACAAAGAAATATGCAAGTACACAATTGTGCATTACAAAATGCTCTTGAATGAAGAAAATTACATAGTTAAAAAGAATTTTAACAGAGGTTACCTACCCTGTAACAGACTATCTAAAACTTAAAATAAAATACAATCATTAAATTAAAAATTGCTTCCTCATCTAGAACGAGGCAGTCCAAGAAAAGACTCGAATGTAATAAGAAAAACTAATACTGCTTTATACTATAATCATTTGAGTGTAATATGGCATATAATGAAGGATATGAAACCCATTTAAAGAACACACAATGACAAAGTACAAAACATTCAAATTTCTAAAGTAAATAGACAGAGGGTAGGATTGGAGGGAATTGGGCCGATGCTAAACTTCTCTAGTGTGTGAATAAATATTGTTACGTCTCCAGTCGTTAGTTAATTTTCCGTAACTTCGTTCCGACGAAACTTTAGCGACACAAGTCCTTTCTTAAATAGAACTGGTTTATTCTTTCTGAATATAACTTTGCGATACACTTAATTTCAACAGTCGCGCTATCACGAACGTCTCACGTGCTCAACTTCAACAATACTCAGTTCAATTACACACTCTCTGACTGCAGTTCAATTACTCATTACCTCCCCGTCGCTTCGTGGTCGGTCTTATATATACAAGACTAACACACATCTAGTAAACGCTAGGGCATTCACGAAGGAACAGGATATTTCTAGAAAGAGGTGGCGTGATACTAGTCACGTAACCTTGCTGACGCAACAATATGTAAAAAGCGAAACCTCTGAGAAATCGAGGATAGAAATTATTTATTCCCCATTTTGCTACGTAATACTAATATTTAATTCACTTATATCTTCCACGTGGTATTCAAAATCGAATTAACCATAATTTAATTGAAATAAACAAACAAATTTCGTAAAAGTTTGTAAAAATAGCTTAACTCTATTATGTTCGGATGGGTGCATCTCGCCTTGATGCTAAAATTGAATCACTGAATTGAAATAATTAAAGAAAATAAAGTTGTGGTGGTTCTTCCACACATAAAAAACTATCAGAGCACAAAATTTCAGTCAAAAATTTTGTTTATTTACCGTATACATAAAAATTAAATAAAACCCCATATTTTGATTTGTGGTTGATTTCAGCCCTCTCCAAACGAATCATTAATGTTTATTAATTTCCTTAATTTTTATGAACATAATACGGCACATGTAGCCCCCAGGAAGAAAACCATGATACTTTTGAACAAAATAGCGCTAGTTTGACCTTTAACATGAATATGTCTGGTTTTATCGATTTTTATTTAATTACTGTATCTCAAACACGGTTATCGTAGTATAATGTAATTGCCTATAACTCAGGTTTGAGAGGGTATGGATAGTGATCTAAATACATAATTAAAGCTCTCGTTTTTTCTGTTCCTTTCAACTGATTAAGCCACATTAACCAACAGAAAATATTTTTGTAAACAGTTTGAGCTACAATTACAGTCTTGAATTTTTTTAAGCTTGCTTTTTCATTTTTTCATCATTTTAATTCTATTGTCGCAGAATGATAGGAAAAAATGTGTTTTTTCTCTAACAAGATGAGGTAGGCTTACTTAAATTATTTTGCATTCGAACATATATATCAGGTTTCGTTTCACTGACAAGTGCTTGAATGGACAAACAAAAAATCAGTGAAAAGAAATATCTACGTATATAATTTATACATGCATACATACACACACACACACATGATATAATATACAAAACGGTTTCAAAATTATTTATTATATATCGAATTAAATCTTCTGGTTAAAAAAAAGATAGTTTCCTTACAAGTTTGGTATGGTAAAAAAAAATATTTTATTGTCTGCCAGTTTTCGTAACGATAGTGAAACCGAGTGCGCTAGTTTTCGAATTAAAATAAAGATGGAATTTACAGTTCTATGAAATAAAGATTTTTTAGGAAAGTTTACAAGAATGAAAGAAGATATCAAACTTGGAAATCAAAATGCACCACAAAGTTAAGGATTTTTAATTATTTCTTAAACATTTTATAAAGAAATATTTTAGAATTTTCAATTTGTTTGTTGAATTTCGCGCAAAGCTATTCGAGAGGTATCTGCTCTAGCTATTTAATTTAGAAATAATACACTAGAAGGAAGGTAGCTAGTCAACACTACTCACTGTCAACTCTTTGGCTATTCTTTACTAACGAAAATATGGATTGACCATCGCGTATAACTCTCCCATTTTGGTGATAGGGTTACGAACTCTTATCTTTCTAACTATCCAGCCATGCCAGGCTCAAATTTTCAAATCTGCGATATCATACAAATATTGCCTGTGGCATTCATAGGCCCTTGTAATTTCGGGTAGAGAAAAAACATTTCTCAGAAATTGTTTGTCGTCTTCATTGACAATGGTTTCTATCCTTCAGTCAGCACTGAGAACTAAAAATATATCGCATATAAAAATAAGATATTTCAACATACCATAAAATGTAAGGACAATCAGGGGCCAGTTGGTTCATTTAGGCCTTTATGTCATCTTTTAAGGTTTTGGTAAAGAAAATAGATAAATATTGCTGCGTTTGTTGTGTCCCAGTAGTCCCGATGAGCTCTGTTATCGGCAATGGATATGACGGACGTAATGTTATTGAAATAATATACACTTCTTCTTCTTGGAAAACCCTAAAGGACTGAATAAAGAATGTAGTGTAAAATGTATAACAGGTCTAATAATAGTGTCTTATGACAAGTATAATTTATGATTTCATCTAGTAGTTTGTTATCGCAATGCATTACAACAAACCAGACAATAGGTGTATCGATTGCATTCGAAGGTGTGAGAAAAATTGCAAAATTAAAATAAAGCATCATAAATATGTTTACCTGATGTTTTATTCATTTAGAGATTGGTTAAAATTGGGATAGTTGTTAGTTCAAATTTAATGACAATAATGCCGCTCTGAAAATGCAGAAAAAAAAAAAGAGAACGTTTTACTTGAGGCGTTGAATTACTTGATACTAATGAGTAATGTTAGAGTTTAGGGCTCATTTTTTTTGTGGTGACGTATTTGTTTAGCAATGGCGCATATGGGTAGGCCTAAGTACAATCCGTTTCTCGACGATGATAACGAAGACGTGGATGATTTTATTTTTTTGGCTCACCCTAAGCAAGGATCTTCTGGATACATGTTAGAAGATGGTATGAGAGATGATAATAATGTAGATTTAAAGCGACAGCAGCTATTAGATGAGCGAAGAAAAATTCAAGAAAGGACTATTCAAAGTACCCAGTCTTCTTTAGGTCTTATTCATGAGAGTGAACAGATTGGAATAGCTACGGCTGAAGTAAGTTACTGTTACTGAAGCCTACTAGTTGATATTGATATTCAACAAATTAGGCTTCTCTTTCTATTTAACTTCAATTATTTTGGGTTTTGTAATTTTTAATTACAAGTACAAATCCATGTTAGCTTCTCGCCTGGATACGTGTATACATAGGCTATAAGTATAAGTATAAATTATAAACATAATAGATTTTCAGAATGAAAAAGCGGGGCTCCCCCCCCCCCCCTCCCAGAGGAAGTGACACTGTAACAGCTCCGAAATAGCAATAAGAACACACTTATCTTAAAAAATCTGATGGTCATTACAATTTACATTGTGTTTTAAAACCATAGACAAAATTTATTAAATCTTATCTAATTAAAAATAATAATAGATAAAAAATATGTCTAAGTTATCTTGAACCTACTCAAAAGGAAAGGATGTTCCTTCATTTTTTTATTAGCAGGTCTTCAAATCTTAGTTTCTGTGGTTGTATGCACAATGACAGGTTAAGCTAAAAAAATGTTGCAGGTGATTCTTCAAGCAAAATTTAAAGGAGCTATGTATGATAACAAACTGTACATACCAAACTCACATTGAGGTACACACATATATATACAGAGAAACTGGAACAATTTAATATTATTACTGTTTCTGGTTGTGATAAAAAATTAGTTTAAAAAGTGAAATAATCCCAGTTTTACTGGGACATCTGGTAACCCTATGCACTTGTTACTTGGAAGAAAGCTTAACATTCCCATGATCAGAAAGCTATTTTATCATTTAGGTTATTTTTAGAGAGGTTAAATAGACCACTGACTTCCTCACTAATTTAAAAAAGAAAGAAGAATTTTAAAGAAAACCCACATAGGTATCTCGCATTATTAGCTTTACTATGTTTGGGTGAGACATTGGAATCCGTTTTAAAGAGTCATACAGAAAAATACTTGAATTTTAATATTTATATAAATGATAATTCCTGTGTGTTTGTGTGTATATATAGAGATGTTTTTCCGCCTCTCAGCTTAGAGATTTTTAATTGAACTTTTTTTTTTGCTCTTTGTTGTACCGTCGATAATGCAATTCCTGACTTTGTCTTGAGGTCCTGATCAATAGTTTATAAAGTGCCTAGCCAAATCCAAGCATTCTGGGATTTCCACATTGCTAGTGATTTTTTCATTTACGATTATGCGAATTAAGCTAGTATTATTTTTTGCACATCATACAAGCATTGAATCAAAACCCCAAAAAAATTGAATTGCCCAATTTCAGAGGTACACTTAAGCCTGCTGCATGCAAGGGTGTTAATTGCAATGTTTTTTGTTATTTGAAATTTTTACTTTATTTTATTTAAAAAACTTGGATGTTACTGTTGTAATCCATTGTATTGAGTAAATCTCCTGAATGATCAAAGTAAAATATACTTGAATCAGAAATTATAGTTGTTCTTTTTCATTTTGTTTGGACTAGAGTGAACGTATACTTGAGGCACTTGAGCTTTTCTTAGGCTAATATGTTTTCTTACTGTGACAATTCCTTTTTAAAATGTCATATTTAAATGTATCATTGGACTCATAATCAATCACATTCATGTAATTGATTATCCTCACTAGGTGGTGTAAAAAAAACAACTTATAACACTGTAAGTTGAGTTTTGGTACTCACAGTGGATATAGCACTATTGTGCAGTTTTGGACCCAATGACAAACAAGAATAATGGAAATATTTTTATTATTTGGTTACTTTCATGAGTCATGACACTAATTGATTAAACTTAATAAACAAATAATAATGGTAAATATCGTATTTTTTGGAATATCAGACGCACCCTTATTTTGAAGACAAAGTTTTGGGGAAACAAAAGCTACAGTCGCATTTGAAAGATTTTTATTGAACAAAAAATTCAATTTGATACTTTAAAAATTAGTAAATATTGTTCTAAACACAAAAGAGCTCAAAACATCAAAATAAGAAAATACCGTAAATCAAAAAAAGGTTTACTGTTATTTAATTTGGTTCAAAACCTACAAAATCTTCATTGCTTTCACTGTAATTTATTTTTTTATTATTTAGGGAGCATTATAAATAGTTATGTTTTTAAAAGAAAAAAAACTACTATTGTTATAAATAACACATTCAATTGAACTAAACTATGCATGCCTATTTAAATATATTACACATGGCTTGTGTATATCTTATATATACATATATATTATTCATACCTTCGGTGTATAGGACGCAAGCAGATTTTTGACATCAAATTTTGGGGTAAAAAAAAAGTGCGTCTTATATACTGAAAAATACGGTATTTCAAATTACTAGATGGTTGTAATAACTGAAAACAGAAGTTGTCAGAAACACTACTTTCAACTACTGGAATAATTAAAAACACTAATTGGAAACATTTATTTCGATTAGTTGATTTTCATGATGTTCATTAATTAATGATAATTTTGATTATTGGAATAATTAGAACACTAGCTGACTATTTTACGTGACATTAATAGTTACTCATAAGTAATTAATTAATTAATAGCCAACTTTATTTGTAAGTTAGTCTGATAGTAAGTTATAGCATTTACTTTAAGAAAACTTTAATCTACAGTTCTTGAAACGTTTAGACCTAATTGTAATGTCATGGGTTTATGATATAATTTTAATATGTATACTTAAAAATGTAAAATTCTGAACTTTATAAAACTTCAAACAAATTTCTTCTATAGTTTTATTAAAGAAATTCAGATAATGCTGAATGAATTCCTCCCCTATTATTTTAATTCAACAAGGTCTGAGCATAACGGTTAATGCATGATTTGTTCTTTCTAAAATGTGCAGGATTGAATTTATGATTTAAAATTTATAGGAACTTGATAAACAAGGGGAAAAACTACACAACATCGAAAGAAAAGTGGATGACATCAATAGTACGATGAGAATCAGCCAAAAGCATTTAACTTCTATGAAAGTAAGTTATATTTAACAAAAACAGTTTGTTCATCTGTATGTATTATGTTGATAATTATGCTTCTTAATAGTAAATTATTAAGTTACCGTATTCTGTGAAATAATAACTTTGTGATATACAGTCTTAACAAAGCAGTTATTTGTGTTTCATTATATATATATATGTCAATGAAATTAAAAACTAAGGTAAGGACATTGATTTGTTGAAAAGGGTTTAGAGGATGATAACCTGGGATGGAAAGGTCATCATTTGATGACAGGTTAAGATGTCTGAAATTGTTTTCCCTTTAAAAAAAGAAGAGTTAGAGGGGATCTAATTCATTAAGATTAATAGAATTGATAGTGATCATACCTCTTCGTATTTCATACTTAATGTTGATAATGGTAGGGCTAGGGTACGCGGGTATGAATTTTGGCAGAGTAGGAGTTATCTTCAGCTCAGACAGTCATATTTTTCTAAAAGTATGGTTGGCTTTTGGAATGGGCGGCCAAATTTAAAGGAGTTTAACGAAAGACTTGATAAATATTTAAATGATGAGAGCTGTCTTTGAGTGTTTTAGTGGTTGTGATGGTCTAGATGGGCCAGTAACATCCTTTGTTGTCCATAAACTTTATGTTAAATGAAAGTCAATTCTACTGATTATATAAATAGTTCATGTACGAAACCCAAATAATTGAAAATCTAAATTAATACGAATTATTTATACGTTAAATTATAATGGTATGTTTGGATAACATTCGTAACAGAAATGTTTTTGAAATTCCAGGTTATAAGTTATTTATTTTAGTGATAGTCATTTTAAAGAAGAGGTCAAATACTCCTTTATATGAGGGATGAACTATAGCCTGTTAGGACTAAAGACATAATAAATGGTAACATATGGACAGCAAAGAGACGTTTGACCCTTCAAGGCTATCCCTGCAAATACATCCTTGATAAAAAGTGAACACTTAAACCACCATTTACTTTTCATATGAAATATTGATTTACTTTTTTTTATTTTATCTTTCACTTGATATAACCAAACACCATTTGCCATATATTTATCTAACTAACTACTTGCTCCGAGTCGTTCTGAAGAACCTCACCATTTTGATATGTAAGAACCAGCCCAAAAACACGGGAGCCGGGTGTGCCTAACCCAACTTCACAACTAAAAGTTTGGAGACGGCTTGACTGGGTAATGAAAAGCAATTTATTGTAAATGTACGACATTTCGACAATATCGTTATGTCATCCTCAGATACAAGTAGATTACAGAGACACATGAATATATATATATATATAGTGTGGAACAAAGAGGTCTCATGACCAAATATTGCTTCACAGTCTAGTATAGGTATCTTGGTATCCTGGAGTGTTGGTTTAGGGTGGGAGATTGCTTCACAGTCTAGTATAGGTATCTTGGTATCCTGGAGTGTTGGTTTAGGGTGGGAGATTGGTTCACAGTCTAGTATAGGTATCTTGGTATCCTGGAGTGTTGGTTTAGAATAGGGCTGTTTTGTTTAAATAAGATAGCTTCCTTTATTCTGTGTTAAATGATGTTTGGCTCTTTGTTCAAAATTACAGTGTTTTGTATAGATATACTGTGGTGTTTTGAGTTGCAATGATGGTAAACATGGGAGGATTTTTTATTTTGTTTGGTGAATCTGGTTTCTAATTTTCTTTCAGTTTCTCTGACGTAGAATTCTGGATAGTTATTGCATGTTATTAAGTTTTCTTCAAGCATTAATTATTTTTGAACTGATGTCAGGGATAAATGGTAAACTGCAGTGTAACGTTGTGTTGTTGTTTGGTGTCAATTTTGTTTATGAGTTGAGTTTTGAGGTTTTTGTTCTGGTGGTAGTGTGGAAATTTTTCAACAATGGTTAGTTGTAATTTGTTGATGTGAATGAAGGAATGCTTTATAGAGTTGATTTCATCATCTATGTAGTCAGTTGAGCAAAGTCCTGAAGCTGTGTCTATAAGGTTTTTTAATATATTAATATTTTGTTTGGATTCATGGGTGGAATTTCAGAGGATGTTGAGGCCTGTTTGAGTGATTTTTCGTTGAATTTTAGTTTTGAACCCTGTCAGATCTAATAATGTCAAGGCTAAGAAAAGATAACTGTTTGTTATTTTCATGTTGAATGGTGAATTTAATGTTGGTGTGAATGGAATTTATGTGTTCAAAGAAAGTGTTTATGTGTTTGGTAGAAGTCAAATGAGCAAAAGTGTTGCCGATATATCTGTACCAGTATAGTAGAGGATAAGGTGTGGATTGTATGGCTTGTGTTTCGATCTGGGTCATAAATATGTTGGCGAGAACAGGTGAAACAGGGTTGCCCATGCTTAAACCATGTGTTTGAAGAAAGTTTTATTGTTGAAAATGAAGTTGTTTTTGTTGTCGTGAATTCTGAGAGGGAAGTAAGAAGTGTATTGGGGATGTCAATTAAAAGATTGGGATCATTATGGTAGAGTTCCAGTGTAATGTTACAAGCTTCTTCATTATGGTAGAGTTCCAGTGTAATGTTACAAGCTTCTTCATTATGGTAGAGTTCCAGTGTAATGTTACAAGCTTCTTCATTATGGTAGAGTTCCAGTGTAATGTTACAAGCTTCTTCATTATGGTAGAGTTCCAGTGTAATGTTACAAGCTTCTTCATTATGGTAGAGTTCCAGTGTAATGTTACAAGCTTCTTTGAAAGGGAACTTTGGTGAAAAGTGACACCACGTCAAAGCTAGGCAATTGAGGCTTTAGTTGGTTTAATGTGTTTCTAAAGTTAAAGATATCTTTAGAAAAAAGGAACCTGCAGAAGTTATGTATGGTGCGAGGTCCCAGGCTATGTATTTACCAATGTTATTGAAAAATTAGTCATCACTGGATAATATAGGACAGTCTTGTTTGTGTGGTTTGGGAAAGCCATAGAGTTGTGCTGGCATGCACCACCTTTGGGTTACCTCGCCGACCACATTTTATTCTGAAAGTCACGTCCGAGAGGCGATCCACCATGTCATATGGGCCTTCCCATGGAGATGACAACTTAGGAGACTTCCCTTTTGTCTTCAGGGGATTATACAACCACACCTTGTCTCCTGGTACAAAGCTTACTTTAGTATATCTCTTATCATAACATAGCTTCATGGAATCAGCAGACGTTTTCAAGTTTGAATGCGCTTGATGGTGAAAAAAGGAACCTGCAAAAGTTATGTATGGTGTGAGGTGCCAGGCTATGTATTTACCAATGTTATATAAAGATTAGTCATCACTGGATAATATAGGACAGTCTTGTTTGTGTGGTTTGGGAATGCCATAGAGTTGTGGTGTTGCATGAATCAGTTTTCTTTAGATAAAAATAAAAATCATCAGTAATCCTGATGTCTTTCTTCATTTGTGAGGTTTTGTTAGTTGTTTTTCATATGTGTTTGTTGGGTTGTTTGGGATGGGTTTAAATTTCTTATTATCTGAAAGAATGTTGTTCATTTTGTTGATGTATTCTACATTGTTCATGATTACAGTAGTGTTGCCTTTGTCAGCTTTTAAAATTTTACTGTTGGTATCGTTTTTAAGACTGTAGATGCATTTTATCTTGTCACTTGTGAGATTAGTTTTCAGTTTGGTTAACTACATTAATGGTTTTTTAAGATACAGTTTTTAGGAACTTCAAGAAACCACATTTTGTTTGTAATTACCTATTTCAAAAGTCTGGTGATCGAAGCTTTGGATTTCTTCTTGTTGTTGGTTACCGTATAGGTGGAGATAGCCTTTTCTTCTTTTATGTTGTGAATCACAGTCTTCTGGATAAATCTTCTAGGTTGGTCTTTAACTCTAGGCAGATGTTGAGGCCTTTGTTCAGAAGTTGTACTTCAGTGTCGTTCTGATCTGTTGATGACAAGATTAGATTGGGCTATGTTGTTGTGTCACTTTTCGTGTTGTAGTTTTTTTTCATTTCCAATTTTTTGCTGTGTACAGATATCTTCTTTTTGATTTAATATGGAGTTGTTTTGGTTGATGGTTCATTTGTATTGTTATACTCATCTGGTTTGAGGTAGCAGGCAAGTCGGTGGTCTAATTCTTGTTTATGTTTTAGTAAGTAGTTTAATTCTTGATATTTAGTGTTCAGGGTAGCTTTTAGAAGTTTTCGTTGCATGTTTTGGATAAAATCTGCAAACTGGTTCAAGTTTTTGGATAACTTCATTTTGACAAAGTTTGGAATTAACTGTTCAGAGTGGCATTGTCTGAGGAAGGAAATATCGTTTTTCCTTTTGACAATTTTTGCATTTGTGTTATGAAGTTTTGAGATAGTTGCGCAGTATGATAGATTTACAGTGGTGGACAAATTGAAAACACGTTATGATTTCACTCAACTTTAGTTGTTGTCCACTGGTCTATGCTGCACAGCAGGTGAATCTTTAACCACAGATGCAAGTAATTGGTATCTTCAGTCTGTTTTAACAAAAGCTATTTTGTAATAATTCCCAAGCCTAGATTTGTGCTAGTTTTTGGCTTATTTGTCATAGGTGTTGATATGGTGCGAACACACTTCTGTGTCTATAGCAGACAAAGTGCTGAAATTTAGGAGCTGTTTGTGCCTATGTTTGCAATTAAATTAAACTAAAACAGGAAATGGGTAATCAAAAGAGGAAGTATCATAGAAGAAAAAGTGGAATTGGACCTGTGTAACTCATAAAATTGAGTGTGACTGGCCAACAGACACTTGGCTTTTATAATTATGATAACTTTTATAATTTTTCATGATGATGTGATTAAATGACAGTAAAAAGATTATAATTTAAAACAAGGAACTTGAATATATTGAAAATTTTTATTTAGAGTAGAGAATAAATTAACAAGTGGGATATGCCAGTACCATGATTATCTGCTGTTTCATAATATTGTACACTTGATTACTAGGGTTTGTTTGAGTTGTTAATAGGTATTCATAATATTGTACACTTAATTACTGGAGTTTGAGTTGTTAATACTATTCATAATATTGTACATTTGATTATTAGAGTTTGTTTGAGTTGTTAATACTGTTCATAATATTGTACATTTGATTACTGGAGTTTGTTTGAGTTGTTAATAGTATTCATAATATTGTACACTTAATTACTGGAGTTTGTTTGAGTTGTTAATACTGTTCATAATATTGTACACTTAATTACTGGAGTTTGAGTTGTTAATACTATTCATAATATTGTACACTTAATTACTGGAGTTTGAGTTGTTAATACTATTCATAATATTGTACAC